AGAAGTCTTCTTGTGACAATCACAGAGGAATAAGTCTAACTAACATAGTATCTAAAATATTGGCCTCAATAATACTTCGACGCTTACCGGAAGCTCGTGAAGAGCAAACTCGAGAAAACCAATCTGGTTTTCGACCTCGTCGTGGTTGCATAGACCACATCTTCACACTACGACAGGTCCTGGAACACAGACACACATTTAGGCGTCCTACAATAGTTGTTTTCCTGGACCTAAAAGCGGCATTTGACTCAGTGGATCGTGAGGTTCTGTGGCAGTGTCTGTCATTGAGAGGTGTACCAAAGAAGTACACTAACCTTATACAAGCACTCTACTCAAACACCACTGGTCGAGTGAGAGCTTATGGCGAACTGTCACCGGAATTCTCTACATCAAGTGGTGTCCGTCAGGGATGTCCACTCTCTCCATTCTTGTTTAATTTTATCATAGACATGCTCCTAGACATAACATTATCCTCGTCTGAATTTTCAGGAGTAGACCTTCTACCAGGTGACTTAGAATATGCCGATGACATAGTCCTACTTGGTGAAGATACTGACAAAATGCAGAGTCTTCTGACTACCCTAAGCAACAATGCAAGCATGTTCAGGATGCGGTTTTCCCCCTCGAAATGCAAAATGTTGCTTCAAGACTGGGTTGCATCGGCACCTGAACTAGTGATAGGGAGTGAAGTAGTCGAACGTATAGACCGCTTCACTTATCTTGGGAGTCTCATCAGTGCCGATGGCCTGGTGACTGACGAAATCTCGGCACGGATACAGAAGGCTCGATTGGCTTTTGCCAACCTGCGTCACTTATGGCGTAGGCGTGATATCCGTTCTCTAATCAAAGGACGAGTGTAATGTGCAGCAATTCGCTCCGTCCTCCTATATGGCTGTGAAACATGGCCAATGAGAGTAGAAGATATTCGTAGGTTACTGGTTTTCGATCATAGGTGTCTTCGAAGCATTGCTCGTATACCGTGGGACAACCGAGTGAGCAATGCTGTCGTTAGGAAACGAGTACTAGGTAAGGATGGGAGAACAATAGATGAAGTGGTGAAACTTCATCAGTTGAGGTGGTTGGGACATGTCTTGAGTATGCCCAACCACCGACTGCCCCGACGAACTTTGTTTTGTTGCGTAGGAGTAGGTTGGAAGAAAGTTAGGGACGGCCAAACCAAAACATGGCAGAAATCCATGAAGTCATTGACGAGTGGACTTAGCCATGTCGGTAATTGTCGACTACCTGGTTGGGGTCCGCGAGATGATAATAACCGATGGTTAGAGACTTTGAATGACATGACTCAAAATCGTTTGCAATGGCGCCGGTGCATTTATTCTTTGTGTTCTCTCAAATCCTAATCTTCTGGGTTCTTCAACCTCTCTAGTTTCGACTCTCTAAACTTTTCTCACTGAATCATACTTCTTGAATAATATCTTCTAATCCTAACCTCTCTGATTACTTCTAATTCCCTTACTACCCCTTCTACTATTGGATTTGAATTGACGATTACTTCTCTGTGCTGATGTGGTATGGCAACATGAACTGATGTACTTATGTACAAAGTTCTACGTTGCATCTGACTGACTGACTGACTGTATACCAACTGTTACGTTTTACATTTAGCATTGTACCGCATTTGCAATAATGCCAAATCATTTAATATTTTGAAATTCAACTGTCTTACATTATGCGAATTATTATTTTCAATAAACTGACTGGAACAGTTTATGCATCTTATATACTTACTTACTTTCGCCTGTTACCCCAAATGGAGCATAGGCCGCCCACCAGTTTTCTCCAACCAACTCTATCATGGGCTTCCCTCTCCACTTCTGTCCAATGTTTGTTCATTCCTCTCATATCTTTCTCTATTTCTCGGCGTAGTGTGTTCCTTGGCCTTCCTCTTTTCCTTTTGCCTTGAGGGTTCCATGTGAGGGCTTGTCTCGTGACGCAGTTGGGTGCTTTTCGTAGTGTATGTCCTATCCACTTCCACCGCTTCTTCCTGATTTCCTCCTCCATTGGAATCTGACTTGTTCTCTCCCACAGTTCGTTGTTGCTGATGGTGTCTGGCCAACGAATACGAAGTATTTTGCGTAGACAACTGTTAATAAATACTTGTATCTTCTGGATGATGGCTTTCGTAGTTCTCCATGTTTCCGCTCCATACAGTAGAACTGTCTTCACATTTGTATTGAAGATCCTGATTTTGGTTTTGTTTGAAAGTTGTTTGGAGTTCCAGATATTTTTCAACTGTAGAAATGCAGCCCTCGCTTTGCCAATCCGCGCCCTCACATCTGCGTCCGATCCACCTTTCTCGTCGATGATGCTGCCAAGATATGTGAAGGTGTTAACGTCCTCCAAGGTATCTCCATCAAGCGTGATTCGGTTGGTGCATGTTGTGTTGCATCGGAGAATTTTGCTTTTTCCTTTATGTATGTTGAGACCTACTGCTGCAGAGGCTGCTGCTACACTGGTCGTCTTCTCTTGCATTTGTTGTTGAGTGTGCGATAGAAGAGCCAGGTCATCTGCGAAGTCCAGATCGTCCAGCTGCGTCCTAACTGTCCAGTTGATACCGTGCTTCCCTCCAGATGTTGACGTCTTCATAATCCAGTCGATGACCAGGAGAAAGAGAAAGGGTGAGAGTAAGCAACCTTGCCTGACACCGGTCTTCACCTCAAAAGAGTCTGTCAGCTGACCTCCGTGTACGATTTCGTAGTTGAATCCATCATAAGAATTCCGTATGATGTTGACTATTTTCTCAGGCACACCGTAGTGTCGAAGAAGCCTCCACAGTGTTTTCCTATCCACGCTGTCAAATGCTTTCTCGTAGTCGATGAAGTTGATGTAGAGTGGTGAGTTCCATTCAATTGATTGTTCCACAATGATCCGTAATGTAGCGATTTGGTCAGTACATGATCGATCCTTACGAAATCCAGCCTGTTGATCTCGAAGTTGGGCGTCTACGAAGTCCTTCATTCTGTTTAACAATACTCTGTTGAAGACTTTGCCTGGTATTGAAAGAAGAGTGATGCCTCTGTAGTTTTCACACTTGCTGAGATCGCCTTTCTTTGGTATTTTGATGAGGTATCCTTCTTTCCAATCTGATGGTACTTGTTTCTCATCCCAAATCTTCTTGAAGAGAATGTGAAATATTTTCGCAGTTGCTTCTACATCTGCTTTCATTGCCTCTGCTGGAATGTTGTCTGGTGCTGCTGTTTTGCCGCTCTTGATTTGTCTGATGGCCATACTGATCTCCTCAATCGTGGGTGCGCCAATATTAATTGGGAGGTCCGTGGATGCTGGTTCGATGTTGGGTGGGTTCAGTGGAGCTGGTCGATTCAATAGTTCCTTAAAGTGCTCTACCCACCTATTTCGCTGTTCGTCAGTGTTGCTGATTACTTTGTCTTCCTTGCTTTTCACTGGTCGTTCTGGTTTACGATAGTTTCCGGCGAGCTTCTTTGTAGTTTCGTACAATTGTCTCAAGTTTCCGTCTCTTGCAGCCTTTTCCGCCGTCATTGCTAGATCTTCCACATATTTTCGTTTGTCAGCTCTGATGCTCTTCTTCACTTGCCTATTTGCTTCTGTATTCCCGGCTTGCGCCTTAACTTTCTCTGCTCTTGTTCGGCTGACATTCACTGCTGCCTTCTTGTTCCTCCTTTCTTCAATTTTTGCAAGAGTACCAACAGAGATCCATTCCTTGTGATGGTGCTTCTTGCGACCAAGGACATCCTGACATGTTGAAGTGATTGCCTCCTTAATCCCTTTCCAATTGTACTCCAATGTTGCTTCCTCTTCATTGAGTAGATCCTCAAAGGCCTGGAACCTATTGGTGAGGGCTATCTTGAATTCGTTGAGTTTTACGGTATCCCGAAGAAAGGCCGTATTAAACTTCTGTGATGTTGCCTGCCCCGTTGTCCAGTGCTTCTTTAGCTTCGATCTCATTTTGGCGATCAGCAAGTGGTGATCTGAAGCTATATCAGCTCCTCTCTTGGTTCTCACATCCTCCATGGTCCTTCTGAACTTTTTGTTGATACAGATATGGTCAATTTGGTTTTGAGTAGTGTGATCCGGTGAAATCCATGTGGCTTTGTGAATGCGTTTGTGCGGGAATATTGTGCCACCGATGACCAGTTTGTTGAAGGCACATAGGTTTGCAAATCTCTCACCGTTTTCGTTCCTTTCTCCCAGTCCATGTCGTCCCATGATGTCTTCATATCCAGTGTTGTCCATTCCAACCTTGGCATTCAGGTCTCCCATAAGAATCGTCAAATCCTTTGGTGAACATTTATCGACGATTGACTGCAGCCTTTCGTAGAATTGATCTTTAACGTCGTCATTGTAGTCATTGGTAGGTGCATAACATTGGATGACGTTCATTGTAATGTCCTCTTTCTTTGTTTTGAAGGATGCTTTAATGATTCTGAGTACATGAGATTCCCATCCTATCAGTGCCTTTTGTGCATGTTTGGACAGCATCAGTGCAACTCCCTGTGTATGTGAAGCAGTTTCCTCTTCATTAACAGAGTATAACAGCAGTTCCCCTGAAGGTAGTGTCAGTTGTCCTACCTGTGTTTAATGCGTTCCACTGATGCCGAGCACCTCGAGGCTGTATCTTTTCATTTCTGCCGCAACTTGAAATAGTCTTCCAGTCTCCCACAATGTACGAACGTTCCATGTACCTAAAAGAATGGTTGCTCTGGTTGTCAGAAGAGGCATCGGCCCCGTGACTTCCGAGGGCACTCGGCTTTCATCACGAGACGTCATAATTCTTCTTCCAACTCCCAGGGCAGAGTTAAAATGGTTTGGATTATTTTTTCTGGTTAGCGTTTTTTTGGCAAGTTAGATTTCGACGGAATGGGGTCGCCAACCCCATGTCCAACCCTCCTCCTTTATCCGGGCTTGGGACCGGCAGTATCTTATATAATGAATTTATTTTATTGTTTAACCTTCATATTAAATAACTGATCACTATCTGTTGATAATGTTTATACATCTAGGACCTAATCGTCGTGATTCACCATTTAGCTGCGTTTGTCTTCATAGTGATCGAAGTCCTCCGGAACGTAAAGCAAATTTGCAAAAGTTCAAGGTATTTGCCATTATTTATTTATTTTAACTTGTAAACGAATGGTAATTGATTCAATTTGTTTACCAGATAGATAATCCACTGTATATCTTAATAAATGATTTTTCCTTTTCCTATTTTCCAGAATGGTGAAGTTCATTTTCTCATATGTACAGATGTTGCTGCTCGTGGTATCGATATTACTGGTCTTCCATATGGTAAGAAAGTGAATAAATCATATCTATTTTCAAAATTGTCATTTTTTTGGATGAATAATAGTTTGATTAATGATATAATTTGACAAAGCTCTCACATATATCTATTGTTTTGTAACACATTACTTTGTTTTAAGTTGATGACTGAATTGAGTTATTCATTTCGATCGTGAATTGATGGTTATGGGGCCATACATTCGCACTATTGACGAGTACCATACTGGGACAAAAAACTTGCTGAGTCTTTAATGATTGTCTAACTAAGGCTAATTTATGGTGTAAAGTATGTAACTGTGTTAACCAATTAGTCGTCACTGATCTACAGCATCATCGAAACAGCATTTGTTTTCCTATCTGTCTTTTATCGTTAAACTAGTTGATTTTTGAGAGAAATAGTAAATATATTCTTAGTATTTCAACTTCCAAAGCAATTATATCCCCTGTCAATGAAATTTTTATTTGTTCTGTTTACAACTTAGTAGTTTGGTATTTGTAAACTTTCATTTCCTTTATAGAATAGTTATTAGGCATTCTTTTTTTTGTTGCTTTTATCTTGTGTTGATTGTTGCTATAAATTTTATTTTTTCTTACCGCTTTATTTTATTCTTATTTTTATAGTAATCAATGTGACATTACCAGATGAGAAACAAAATTACGTTCATAGAATCGGTCGTGTAGGTCGTGCTGAAAGGTGAGAGAAGGAAGGGTTTCTTTCCTAGAAATATTATCACTAAGAATCATAAATATGTTCTGAAAAAAGACTCATTTCGTGTAGAATTTGGTTTAATTTAACATAACTTTCGTTTCAGTGAATTTTTAACGAATGTGATGATTGGACTGAATAATTCTCATTTTCTAATTTGAATTGGTGTTAACGAGAAGACAGTTTTGTGCTTTACGTTACATGTTTTTTTACTACTGATATCGTCAACTAAAGTTGTTTACAAAATCAACCCTTTTCTAGAGGAGAATATACGTCACTAGTGTAATGTAGAAGAGATGTACAGATTGATGGTGTACTATTTTTGGTAGTCACACATTTTTTGCATGTCAAAGTATGGATATACTGATCGTACAAAAATAAACGGGGTGAATTGTGATCTTTAAAATTAATATTTGAAGGTTAAGCGTTTAAACTGCAACAGTCTACGACAAAAGTTGCTAGTTTTTAAACTATCCACTTAGCATTATTTCTTGGCATATTTCCTGATAAGTAACCTAACTATCGAGTCGGTTATGTAAGATATACTAAAAAATTCCCATAGTATATATATATATATATATATATATATATATATATATATATATATATATATATATATATATATATATATATATATATATATATAGGTTGGTCTTAACAGTTGGTCAATGTTAAGCACTCATTCCATAGGTGTTTAGCAGAAAGTCAACATAGTTCTGTCAACTAGTAAATACTACCCAAAGTATTCTATACGGAACGTGTTCTATGTGGTATGATAATTTATACAGTTTATTTGTGTATCATGTGGAATGCATTCCGATAGTGTTTGAACATACTATGTCAAATAATTTGTTTAAAGAAAACACTTCTTACTTATATGTTGATCAACTATGTGCATCATGGTTCCCCATCTGGCTGACCTATACAGTCGATTTCTCATAATTTACAATTTAAGTATTAACTTTTTATGCAACCAAGTATTCATACACAGTGGAGCAATGTCAAGAGATGCGGTCCCATGTTAGCTGACAACCAATAATTGGCTTATACCGTATGAACTCCATCAGGTTCATGAAGCCCATGTGCACCATTGGTTTGGATTCTGGGTGGTTTTCCAACCCCCCCCCTAGGTACGTCCTCCGTTTCCACCAACTCGGTTAAAGCGCCGGACACTTTTCATCCTCTCAGTTGCCTAAAGAACTCCTCCACCACGAGAAAACAGTGAGTAAGACTGCTCTGACAGTAACTATGTACACGTAAACAACATATAAGAACATTTTGAAAACCATAGTAAAACCCTTTCCACTCTCAATTGTGTCAGTGCGCATTTGGCGGCTTGTTTCGTGTTATCTTCTTTGCAAATGAAACTTGTTCATCATCGCCACCAGATTTCAAATATTGTTTACTAGTGATTGTTTGTCAGTTCAGAAATTTCCGTCAAAACGTTTAGTCTAAGGAGAAAACTGGTGATCATCATCATCATCATCATCTTCGATTTGCTCTTTCACTAAACTTTTATTATTTTATAGAATGGGTCTTGCAATTAGTTTGGTATCAACTGTTAAAGAAAAAGTAAGCAGATTGATTTTCTTTTTCTATTCGTTTTACTTAATATTTTTATGTTCGACTGTAGTAGTAAAGAATTTTTCTACACAAAAAAAAAATATATACACTATTTGATATAAACTCCACTTCCAATAAGAAACTTATATTGAAACATATTTCATTGGTATCAATCATCTTCATTTGTAACGATAACTCAAACATCACATGGTATTTCTGCTTGCATCCTATAATGTTTTTAACATCATGACGAATTTTTGGATTTTCATAAGAGTGCATGTTAAAACACTCGTTGTCGTGGTCGTGTGTACTTAACCACCGTTGTCTTCGAAAGATTTCTGATATTTAGTGTCAATACTGTGTTAGTAATGCAAAGATTCGACGACATGTTTTTGAGCACAAGTATGATAATTCGATTTGTATGACAATCTTGAGATACTGACTTCAATGGCTTGGATGAATACTGTCTCAATGAATTCCATGTCGGGCATTATTTGTCAAGGCTGAGTCTGGTTGGAAAATGCAGAGACCTGGTCAGTGTATAGCTTGATCTCGCGGTATGAAAGGGGTACAGGGATGGCATTTATTGCTTCCTTACAACTCCTTGGTTGGGTTCCTAAAGATGATTCAACTCCAGTGGTTTGAGGCGTTATCAGACATGGCCCAGAATAGAAGCTAGTGGCGGTCTTGCTGTAACTTTCTTTGATTTTCTTTACATAATCAAGAGGAGGACCTTTCACCAAAAAGGGTTCGTTCTGATTATATTTTCCCTAACTGAACTATTTCTTTTACAATGATTGCAGTTATTTTACTCCCATACACTACTTTCTATCCATTTCTTTTGTTATTCTCACACTGTTCTTTCTCTATCTTTTCACAACCTCATTTTTAATGCGTGGAGCATACATATTCTGGTGCATACTTGTACTAATAATTGTCTTTTACATAAATAATCAATCAAATTAATTAGACATTTACGTACACATTATCACTTTGTCAAAACAGACCTTACCGTCCGGGTTTCTGTTTAACCTTTTGTCCATAAGCCGATTAACTAATGATCATGCTCAAGTACTAATTATAGACAGTTCAATAAAATAAACAATGAATCTTATGCAAAGAATTACCTTTTACTTACTGCATGAGTACATGTGATATGTTTATTCTGTCACAGTAATTATATTTCTCATATATTACCAATGAATAAATGTCTACAATTGATTGTTGGTCTACATCCCGATTTTCCCACCAAGTCATCGACTAATTATATTCACCCACTTTTAGTTTAATGTATTTATTATGGGGGACATTGTCAATGGTCAGTGTTATCATTGTTTCCGACTAGACTAATTTGTCTATCTATTTAGAAAATATACCATTTCAACATGAAAAGTAATGTAATTTAATTTCTTGATGAATCAATCTTTTAACAAAAAGGTATGGTATCATTCCAATTGTTCTACACGTGGTCGAGGCTGTTACAATACTCGTTTGTTAGATCAAGGCGGTTGTTGTACTTGGTATAATGAGCCTAATTTATTAAGCGAAATTGAAGAACACTTAGGTGTAACTATTGATACAGTGGATAAAAATTTAACTATACCTGTGGATGCATTTGATGGCAAAGTTGTATATGGTCAAAAATTAAAACAAAGTAAGTGTGGTCTTTTAAAAAATTTTTTTATAAGATTTATGTTTCTAATTAAAATTATTCATATTTTAAACTATTGCAACCTGTTTGATGAGTTGATAATCCATCCTAGTCATTGTTTTCAATATACACTGATTGAATACATTGAATGACTAGAGCTAATAATAAACCTGAGGAAATAAACGTACTATTCATATTACAGTGATATGTTTGCTAATCATTAGAACTAGTCGACGGAACAATCTGCTGTTAAATGCATGGAATAGATAAACTGGTTTACAAAGATTTTTGTTATTAAAACACCTGATTATTGACTCTATTTATCAGTTACAAATATACCAAGTACATTCTCCTTCTCAGGCCTCAAACTAACCTTCTGTAGAATAGATATTTATATTTCACTGTGTAGTAGTGATCAATTCCATCTTTGTGTAATCCTTTAGTGTTGATCGACAGCAGTCGATCAGATTGCAATGTGGCCACTAGTGAAAATCACTACAAATACGAATTAACACGAAACCTATGTCCACGGAGTTCTGTCAACTCTCTGACATTGCAATACAACTCATTCAAATATCGAGCCACTCAGATCAGTGACCACATCTCAGATGGATCGATAGAGTTCAATCACTACTAAAGAACTAGACAAAGATAACCTTAGTCGCTCATCACTCATTGATCAATCAATTGTACACAGATATTTTATCAAACATTATTGACGTACTTTTAAAAAAATTACGTCCGTAAAGTATTATTCTCCATACAACGAAACATAAAGTTATTTCATTTATGTACGTTTCTATTCTTTGCTTAAATACAACAATAAACGTTCTGATAGAATGGTGAGAAGATGTAATTGATCCGAAAAATGTGATGTATTCGCGCCATACATTTCGAACAGTCTGGTCACACATATACCTGTCAAGGTATTTTATATGATTAATAAAAGGTAAATTAAATAAAAGTTCAAATAGACATAAGGTGATTATAATTGTAAATGAAGGAGAGAGAAGATTAACGTAATATAGAAAAGAATTAGAAAGGGTAGGAAAATTGTCACATTACTCTAGGCCGTACAATGGCTTATAGATTAGCAGGGTAAATTTAAGGTTATAACAAATTGTTTCTGTACACATAAGGGGGGTTTCAATTTACGAATAGCGGAGGCTTCCATAAACCTCAAAATCCGTCCTTCAACGTTTGTATACAGTGTTTTGAAAGCCGTCTTGATGTCAATCTTATGCCCTGTCTTATTCACGTGTTTTGCGATTGATGAACATGGTTTTCTGTTTCCCACTTTTATCGGTTCATCTGAAGTTAACTGATTTTGAAGCCATTTAGGAATATGTTCCTATAACCAGATTGTTCGAAATGTATAGGGGCGCAAATAGATCACATTTTTCAGATCAATTACGTCTTCTCATTGTTCTATCAAGATTTACAATAGGGACAAATTGTTTTAAATAACCGTTCTGCCTTACTGTCAACATTGATCCATAATAACTTTTTTTGTAAAATTTTCTTCAAATAACCGACTTTCAAAATGTACGTCTGTTTTTCTTTCTATCTCATCTAGTGACGCCAAAATATAAAAGTCATGTAGATATTTTAGCTTCGTCTGTTAAAGAATTGGATAATCTTGAAAAGAGATCACAACAAGACTTTTTACGTTTACGATTCGATGGTGAATTAGCGATATAACATGAGTAGTGGTGCTGGTGATGGTGATGATGGTCATAGCTAACTTTGTCTATTTCTTCTTTCAAATTAACAATATTGATTATTGATAATGATGATGATTATTACTATTCACTTGTAAATTTACGAATCAATCAATAAATCGAAATTGTGTGTGTGTGTGTTGATATTATCATTATCATTGCTAGTTATAATGAATATAATCATTTCAATCAATAATTGCACTGCCAATCTGTTTTTTTTTCTTTCGTATTGATTACGCTTAGTCGATTATTTGAAATATAAATTTTTGAATGTTAAAGTGTTTTGTGAGTAATTCAAGGGAATAGTTGTTTTCTTAAATTGATTGCTTGCATATTTTAGACAATTTTTTAACATATGCGAAAGTTTTGCATTAAAGAATATCATCATTTTATCGTTCTTCAACTAAAATAGTCTTTGATCATTTTTAACCAGTAAAAATTAACTGTAGTGGTTTCGCTTGCAATTTTTGTTTTAGATTTCTGTTTCGTTAGCTAGATTTTCACTCAAAAAGTAACATTGTGGTTCGTCTATGACATGTATCTGATCAATATGATAGGTTTACTTTTAAATGTTCCATTCGCCTGTTCTGTTTTTAGAAAAAATATTTGTTATTATTTTGAATTGATATGTGGAAATTAACCGTTAGAACTTCGATACGAAAGAACATATATATAACGGTCAATTCCAACTTCCTCAGAATCATGTGAGCACATGTTGCAAAATAACTTCCATTTATTATAAATATCATATCGACTTACAAATAAACATTAAACGTGTTTTCTGTAAACAGAGCATCCGATTGTCAACCTGTTTATTAAATAAAAAAAAGCAATTTTCAAAAAGACGCCCTAAATTTTTTGTTCTTAATTCAACTAAATGAAGCCTAATTAAATCAGTTTGTTCTTCATCAGTCATCCTTTGAGTAGACAAGTTTTTCGTAACCGATAAATAACGTAACTGTTATTTATTAGTGTAAGTCATCTGAATTAAGAAATAAATAGTTGGTTGTCAGCTTGCGGTAGGATAATGCGTTTACAGTTTTATACACTGAAATCACCGAATAAATAATTCGTTGGTTAAAATATTTTTTGATAAGTCGTCTCTAAACATCAACGAGTGATTTGCTAAGATTAAAAAGTAACAAAATAAAAAGTTGAGCATACATTTACTAATCTAAAGATATTTCGAATTTTTGTCTATAACGAGTGTTTCAACATTATTTCTCTAGTCACAAGTGACATTTTGCAAACATACTTTTTGGTATGATATAAATCTACTGAATTCGAAATGTCTAACAGTCTTGAAAGAATCCTAGCAGACAAATCTGGAAATACAGAATCACGTACCATGGTTTTGATTGGACACTTACCCATAATGCTACTAAACTTAGTATGATTCCAGAAATTTCCGAAATTCAGGGTCATGTGTAACTCTATTAATATCCTTATTTTCCCCGTACATAAAATTACATCCGAATTGAGTATCCATTTTCTTGTGCATTCAAGCTGCCATGTAGATTTAGCATGAAGGTTATTAAAACTGCATAGGAAATCAGATCAAGCATTCGTTCGGTAGATGTATATTATCTTATATATTTCATGTTGTGAGGACATCCGAGACTCTGAGAATTCCCATCACATTAAAACACACATGGTGAATGAGTAATATTCGTTTCGATAATATTTCATTCAGCTAGATATACATATATATAACAGTATATCTGAGTTTCACACATTTGAAGAATTGTAGAAATGGACTATTGGATGATATAAATCAACGGTCTCTAAATAGTAATGTGCATGCAGCCAGACCAGACAGAGAGAGAGGTACAACGCAGAACTTCTTACGTAAGTACATCAGTTCAGGTTGCCATACCACATCAGCACACAGAGACGCAACTGTCAGTTCAAATCCAAGAGTGATAGCAATAATAGAAGTATTAGACAGTAGTGGAGAATATTTGGGAGCGAAAATATGATTCGAGAAGTATAATTCAGTGAGATAAATTTAGAAGGAGAAAGGGTAGAGTTTATAAGGAATTCAGAAGGTTAGAATTAAAAAGTACACAAAGAGTGGATGCACCTGCGCCATTTCAAACGATTCTCAGCCATGTCTTTCAAGGTCTCTAACCATTGGTGACTTTCGTCTCGCTGACCCCAACCTGGTAGCCTATATCTACCAACATGACTCAGTCCACTTGTCAGTGACTTCATGGATTTTTGCCATGTTTTGGTTTGGCCACCCCTAGCTTTCTTCCAACCTATGCCCACATCGTAAAGCACAGCTCGACGAGGCAGTCGGTGGTTAGGTATACGTAACACATGTCCCAACTACGTCAACTGATGAAGTTTCAATACTTCATCTATTGATCAGCCATCCTTATCTAGCGCCCGTTTCCTAACTTCAGCATTGCTTACTCGGTTGTCCCAGGATAAACGAGCAATGCTTCAAAGACATCTATGATCGAAAACAAGCAAACTACTGCTCAGTACACTCGTCCTTTGGCATATTCTTATTCAACGAGCAAGTTTCCTGGTAGCAGGTCTGCTCCTGAAAATTTAGACGAATATAATGTTTTATCCAGAAACGTACCTATGACATGCTTACTTACCACATATAATGTAAATAATGTAATGATTAGGGAAAATCCTAACAAGTATTCAAAGTCATTTTTTGTTCCGTTTATTGAGATGCAAGATGTCATTGATATTTTACGAATTCTAAACGGCCACTATTGATTATGTTTTTTATTAGGTTTCAAATTAGTTAACTAGAGTCAGTCGAGCGTTCTACCGTGCCATTATATTTACATGAAAGATGAAAGAATTCATTACTTTTTGTAGACATTCAATTAGTAGTTGGTCAAGATATTTTATAGAGAAGTTGCCTCACTAATTTTTAAGTTTGTAAAGTAGCAAGAAGAAGTTGAGCATACTTTTACAACTGTTCAAGTATTTTGCATTGTTATGTGAAATTAGCGTTTTAACATTATTTCGCGTCTGCGAGATGACAGTTATCAATGGCTAGAGATCTTGAATGACATGAGTCAAAACCACTCGCAATGGCGCAGATGCATTCGTTCTTTGTGTTCTCCCACATCCTGTTATTCTCAATTCCTCATGATCGTTTCTTTATTTTTTACTAATCGATTTCTTCAGGGGTATACATTTTGAACTATATATTCAATCTGCAATCTTGATGATTATTTCTAATAAGTACACTACCTTTATTACTAAGGGATTTGAAGTGACAATTGCGTCTCAGTGCTAATATGGTATGGCAACTTGAACTGATCTATGTACGTACGGTGCTCTGCATTGTAGCTGATTGACTGATCGACATCTTTTATCTAGTCACAAATGACATTTTGAAAAAATACCCTTGGTACGATATGAATCTAATGAATTAGAAATGTCTAAGTGTTGAAGATAATCCTAGCAGAAACATCTGAAAAATTCAGAATCACGCTCCATGGTTTTGATTGGACACTTACCCATAAGGCTGCTATATTCAGTATGATTCCAGAAACTTCCAAAGTCCAGGTTCATGTGTAACTCTATAAATATCCTCATTTTCCCAGTACATGAACATACTTCCGAATGAAGTATCCGTTTTAGAACTTCGTTCGTTTTCTTGTGCATTCAAGCTGCCGTGTAGATTTAGCATGAAGGTTATTGAAACTGCATAGGAAATCAGATCAAGCATTCGTTCGGTAGATGTATATTATCTTATATATTTCATGTTGTGAGGACATCCGAGACTCTGAGAATTCCCATCACATTAAAACACACATGGTGAATGAGTAATATTCGTTTCGATAATATTTCATTCAGCTAGATATACATATATATAACAGTATATCTGAGTTTCACACATTTGAAGAATTGTAGAAATGGACTATTGGATGATATAAATCAACGGTCTCTAAATAGTAATGTGCATGCAGCCAGACCAGACAGAGAGAGAGGTACAACGCAGAACTTCTTACGTAAGTACATCAGTTCAGGTTGCCATACCACATCAGCACACAGAGACGCAACTGTCAGTTCAAATCCAAGAGTGATAGCAATAATAGAAGTATTAGACAGTAGTGGAGAATATTTGGGAGCGAAAATATGATTCGAGAAGTATAATTCAGTGAGATAAATTTAGAAGGAGAAAGGGTAGAGTTTATAAGGAATTCAGAAGGTTAGAATTAAAAAGTACACAAAGAGTGGATGCACCTGCGCCATTTCAAACGATTCTCAGCCATGTCTTTCAAGGTCTCTAACCATTGGTGACTTTCGTCTCGCTGACCCCAACCTGGTAGCCTATATCTACCAACATGACTCAGTCCACTTGTCAGTGACTTCATGGATTTTTGCCATGTTTTGGTTTGGCCACCCCTAGCTTTCTTACAATCTACTCCTACACTGCAAAACAGCTCTTCGAGGCAGTTGGTGGTTAGCCATACGTAACACATGTCCCAACCACCTCAACTGATGAGGTTTCACTACACCATCTATTGATTTGCCATCCTTACCTAGAACTCGTTTCCTAACTTCAGCATTGCTTATACGTTTGTCCCACGATACACAAGCAATGCTTCGGAGACATCGAAAACTAGTAATCTACGGAAGTCCTCTACTTTTAACGGCCAAGTCTCGCATCCGTACAGTAGGACGGAGCGGACTGCTGCACAGCACACTCGTCGTTTGGTTAGCAAACGGACATCTCGCCTACGCCATAAGTGACGCAGGTTGGCAAAAGCCAATCGAGTCTTCTGTATCCGAGCTAAAGGATTCTGTATGCGCGTTTCCGAGACGCAGCATACATCGATTGAGCGAGATACTAATGTTATAGCTAACGAAGCCTGTCGCCCTATTTGACATAACGTACGTACATTAAATGCTCCAACATGTAGTCTAGAGCGGGGTTTCAAGAGGCCAGAAATGACGTTTCGTGAACTTGCATTGTTTGCATCAGTTGTGCAGTGTGATAATAGAATGTGAAAAGAGTTAGTCGTGGAGATAAGAGAGGTACTAGGGGGTGTAGGAAGGATTTGATTTTGACCAATTTGGTCTCGTGTGCTGTTACGGGTATGAGGGCGGTTGTCACTTCCCGGCTGCCTACACCGTGGAAGGTTGTTTCTTGAGGAACC